TGAAGGGGTAGGTTCTCTCTCTCTCTCTCTCTCTCTCTCTCTCTCTCACACACACACACACACACACACACACACACACACACACACACACGCACACACACACATAGACACAGACGCACATACGACGGAGTATGCCAACGTGTGTGTGTGTGTGTGTGTGTGTGTGTGTGCCCGTTGTCGAGCGCATCGGTCCCACACGGGGACCCTCCCGGCCGTGTCACGTAGGATTATGCAGGACTTGTCGCGGAGAGCATTTGCCGCTCCGGCCGAGTGCGCCAGCCGTACCTCTCGCGAGCCCCTACGACAGGACAGGGTCACGCGAGGCACCGCTTACCTCCACCTGCGGGAGCAGTCACCTTCCCTTAGGTGGGCGTATCCCTGTCGAGCTATTGAACCACATGCGAAAGCTTTCGTATGCAATTGCAAAGGTGGTCCAGCCGAGGGCGTTTCTCGCTCGCTGTAGCATAGGGGGTACGAGCGGTCGAACGCCCGAAATCGGACCCGCACGCGAATCGCCGCACTGGGGGGCTGAAGTCCCAGACGTTACTCGACGTCGGTCGACTAGGACGCTTCACGCACACCACGCGTTACACCACAATACTCACACTTACCATGCATAACACCTGGACACGCACAAGACTAACACCGCAAACAACGCCACAACACAACAAAACTCCTAGTCCCTTCAATATCTGACCCATAACTCTTTGCAGCCAGAATCAGATAGGTACCGCGCGCTGGGCTTTCGTATAAAAGTCGAGCGAACGCATGGCCTTCTCATGTCAACCAGTCATGCTGGCATACGTAACCATTCGCGTTGATGGGACACTCTGCAGTACTCGTAGCCTCATGGCCCTTAATAATCTCGGGGTCGCGTTCGACACTCAAGTGTCGGCTGACAGGCGCTTTGAGGGGTAATCTCTCGACGCCAGACAACTGCCGCGGGTGGTTGGATTCCACACCCTCTTCTGCACCCTGTGCAGAGGGGTTGAGTAGACAAGTCTAAGCTGTCGTGGCGGTCAAATATCAAGGGGCTTGACTTTGACGGTTGCCATGGACTACGATGTTTAACCATAACAACTCTAAAAAGAGAAAGATCAAAGGGGATTTTTTTTTCTCTCAAAGTATAATCTGTTTAACCCTTGCACACGGTTACAATAGGCCACGCGAATACCTCACGCGTATGTATGTACATATATATATATATATATACAGGGGAATAGATATGTGACGATCACATCTCACAATCACAATGGGACTCCTCATAGCCATACATCTATGTGAGATCGCAGGCAGTTCAATCCAATAATTCGAGTCACAGCC